GTATTGTAGCATATGTTCCTCAGATACTGCACAAGCAGTAAAATACCTGCTTTTCTCTCTCCAGAGACTTTCTTCAGCTCGTGGGGTAGCTTTCCTAAACTAAGTGATGAGCCTCAAAACCCTCCTCCACTTCCTCCACGAAAAAAGCTGGATCAGGATGCTTCTAATGCTAAGGTATTTCTGTCCTATATTGAGTAACTTTGAGAATAAATCAGGGGACATCTAGAATCGCAGAATCATTTAGGTTGGAAAAGATCTTTAAGTTCGTACAACCTTAAGTGTCTAGAGAGGCTGGGGCTGCCCCATCCCTGGAAGTGTTCAAGGCCAGGTTTGGATGGGCTTTGAGCAACTCAGTCTAGTGGAAGGTATCCTTGCCCTGGCAGGGGTTGGAGCTGGAGAAGCTTTAAGGTCCCTTCCAACCCAAACCCTTCTATGAATCTATGGTCGAGGCCAACCATCTAGCCAAACAGGACTTCATTAGTCTAAAAGACATCCAAATGCAGTTGTCTTTAAAGTTTCAGATCCCCAGTGTCCAAACTCTGCTAGCTCCTTTAGGTTGTATCCAGCCCCAAGGTACAGCTATGCCAGTGTCATGTTTCTGCGAGCACCCATAGTGAATGTCAGGAGAATTCTGCATCTGTCAGAAGATCTGCTCTTTATCTAAACATCTGCATTTCTTCTTTGTAATGTTGTAGGGAAGTTTAAAGCCGGATGATGATCCTCCAGCAATTCCACCTCGGCAGCCACCACCTCCAAAGATACAGCCTCGTGCTCCTGCTTACACTAACCCCCTTGACCAGCCACTGCACAGTCCTCCTCCTCCACCCCCCCGGGACCCTCTGCCTGATACTCCACCACCGGTACCCCTCCGGCCTCCTGAACACTTCATCAACTGCCCTCTCAACCTCCAGCCGCCGCCAGTGGGATGCTTACACAGAGATCCCGACTGGTTCAGGGAGGCGAGCACAGGCCCCAGCTCTCCTGGCACTCCTCCCAGCACACCCTCTCCCAGAGTCCTGCGCCGCTGCTGTGTGATCAGCGCCAGTCACAACAACCTGGTTCACCCGCCTGTGCCCCCTGTCCCACCCCGGCACAATTCAAGCCCTCAGCTACCAAAACTGCCACCAAAGACTTACAAAAGGGAGCTCTCCCACCCTCCTTTGCACAGACTGTCTTTGCTGGAAAATGCAGAAACTCCTCAATGACCTTAGCCACAGTAGTCATTGACACTGGAATAGTATTTGTAAAGTTCCTTTTTATTTATTCAAAGAAGGCAGTGTATTTTAGTACTTATACAAATTATGCTCTTAAAGTGCTGCTGATCAAAAGAAAAAAAAAAGGTTTAAATTGGAAAAATAAGACTACACATGCTCTAGCCTGCATCTGTTCAACAGCATTACCCTCAGGTGATCAGCAGCATTGCCTTGTTTCACATCCTCAGTGCCGACAGTCATGCCAGTATAAAAATAATCTTTTGCACTGTAAACTACACTAAGTGAATTGATAACTGACATCATTTAATTGCACTGAGCCAAAAAAAAAAAAAAGGTGCATCTGTGGAATTTCTTCAAATTTGAGCATTAGTGGCCTTTTGTTTGTTTAAAATTTAAAAAAAGAGCAGTGGGATGATGACACAACATGAGGACACACAGTGTTACTGATTTTAAATCTCCAGCCACTTGCCTTCTAACTTTGTGTAAGCTTGGAGGTTCGTGAGTGACAGCTACTGTTCTTGAGTATTTTAATGCCATGTCTTAATTGCCATTGATTTGCTGCTGAAGACAAAAAAAACCCAGGTTGAAATCTAAATACCAAAATACTCAGTTGGTCTTGATCATTTTGAGAAAGGCTGAACAAGGACTGACTACCTGTCTTGAATTATTGAAAAGGATCCCTAGTACTTAGCATGCATCTTGTTCAGATGTGCCTTTTTGTTTTGGTAGGCGAAGATGTCTTAAGCTAAAGTCTACTGTTTTGAACAAAGCTATATGCCATGTATGTACAATTGTTTATATTGTATATTTACAGATAATGCTAATAACCTGTATAAATTTAAGTGATTTGAGGCCTATAATAGAGTCTGCTACTCCTGCAGTCTTTTACAGCCAGAAGTGTTTCCTCTGGCTTAGGAACAGTCTTGCCTTCCAAACTTAATAACTTCCTTTAAATCTTACTTAACTTAATCGTGAATCCATTTTGGAAATTGGTAGCATTTAAACCAGCAAACACTTAAAGCTTTATTAAAATTTTTAAACTGATAAGTGAATGGAACTTTTATTTGCCAGTTGAACTACTTGGTTGAACTGGTGTGAGAGTGAGTCTGTTTTACTGGTAGTACTGTAGCAGCATTTATAAAGTGGCCAGAAGCCACATTTTATTTACTGGTCTGTGGCCTTTTACTGTGCTTTGTATCAGAGTTCTTAACAAGATTAATAAATCACCCTAGTCTTAATTTTTAAGAGCTTGAGCAGTGCGTGTTCCTTCTAAGGACAAGGTTGGGAATTACATTTAGCAACTCTCTGGCAATACAAAATGCCCCCAATTTTTCAGGCTGCTGTTCTTCACTTTGGCCCCTCAGTTGGCAGTTGGGCTATCAGCAAAGCTTCAACGAAGTTGAGCCCAACACACAACAGATCCCTGGGATTTGTATCTTTCCTAACACCTGCGAGTCCATCGGATACCTAGGCCACTCTAAACAGAGAAGTGGTTCCCATATTTTCGGGCTCCTAACTAGGAGAAGAGCACTGTGGTGGGATCTGCAGCAGTTCAGGCTTCCAAGTCACACTCTGGCCTTTCATTGGCCTGCCTATATTGCTCCCACTGTCTTGGGAATTTTCTGGAAAAGGAGAGGTGTGATATACCTGGAAGGGGTGGCAATTTTCTTCTCCTGGGAAAATGCATTTGCCATCTGCCTCTTGGATAGTCTTCTGCTGCCTGTCCCCTTCATGCTTCTTTCCTGAGGAAGAGAGGAAGGGAAGAATCTATTCATCCAAGGGGCCGAAGGCACTTTATAAAGAAGAGCTGCTTCACTTCACAAAAATAACTTTGAGGAAGTCCCAAATTTAAGATGCATGAATGCAGGCAGGAAGCAGACGATGCCTTAATTGTGGCTTTTCCTCTGCAGTAAAACCTCAGCTTGTAACTCTTCTGTAAGTCTTCTATTAGTATCTGGTGGTAAAATTATGTGCAGTGAAGATCCTGTGGGTTTTCCTGCAGGCTGGGCTTAAAGCATCACTACTTAACAACTGATCAATAGTGCTGGGACAATAAAGCTCCAGAAGGATAAAGGAAAAGCAGGAACCTCTTAGATTTGATCTCCAATGGGGGCAATAATGTGAAAACGTGAGATACTTATGCTAGAAAGCAGCAGCTAAATGTTCCTAGCTTCATTTCCCATGCATAAAATGTGACTCTTACCTTTACAGCGCCAGCTCTGGAGTTTACCTAAAGTACATAAATCACAGGATGAGTCATAAAAGGGACCTTGTTTATGGATAGCTTACCACACAATTAAACTGTCCTCCAAGCATAACAGGAGCTGGAAAATAAAGAACCATTCCAAGGCAGGGCAGCAGAAGCGATGCCAGCGGCATGAAATATGGTGGGTACAGCAACACACATTCCCGAAGTAACTGGCTGTGGAAGTGGTCAAATTCAGTCGGATTCCTACCAGTGTGGTTCCAGGGAATGCCAAGAGAGCAATAAATTAACATTTCAGTTGCTGTATAATTAGAAGGGTAGATAAAAAGAAGTGTGGGGGGGGGGAAATGCTAGAGGGGGAAAATATGAAATTGCTGGGTTTGAAGTTGGCTTGTGTGGGAAAAGGCAGTTCCCTCGGAAAAGTGCAGATAACGAGATGGAATAAAAAAGAAACCTCTTTCTAGTGGCCCTGTTCTGAGTTACTGACTTTAGCATTTCCCCCTGCTCTGGAGGCAGACAGATTAACTTATGTGGGTGCTATGACACGGCTGTAGCAGATCAAAACCAAAAAGGGACAAAAGGAACCATGTTTTGTTTCTTTTTGTTTGGTTGGGGTTGTTTTTGGGGGGAGGTATGTTCTCCCCACATTTACTCAATATTCAGAAACACCCTGAAGTCTGAATATACAATTTGGAATCCCTAGTGAGCACTGTTATCTCCTCCCTGGGGGAGCAAGCATTAGTAAGAAATGCTAAGAAGTAACAGTAATAAACATGTCCAAGGAAAAAAACCAAAAGCCTTTACAATTAAAGATGTTGATGCACTGCCAATTCATATTCAACTGCCTTTTTTAAGCCTTTCTGGAAGCTTAAGTGTTGGGCGAGGGCCTACAACCCCCGTGATTTCTGGCCATCCTCTGGCTCTGGTGGGACTGCATGCCCACAGCGCTTGCAGGCTGCACGGAACAACTTGCGAAGCAGCTTTTGGACCGCTGTGTGTTAATTTTCAGCCAGTTCAAACGTGAAAAGTTTTCTTCACAGCATGTTCCACTGGCTGGAGTTTAATCACATAATGACAGAATGGTTCAGGCTGGAAGGGAGCTTAAAGCTCATCCACTTCCAACCCCTGCCACGGCAGGGACATCTTCCACTAGACCACGTTGCTCATGTCAGCTTCTCCAGTCTCATGGGCTAGATCGGGAGGGTCTGACTGGCGGCCAGGCGAGCTCCTGCATGCCGTTTCCAAACGGGAGGTTTCTCACCTCTGAGGGAAGCCTGACTGCGTGGCAAGTAAACAGTAGAACTACGTTCTTCTGTCAAACAAGGGTTTCTAGTGCAGGGTATGCTTTCACGGAGCTAACAGTCAGCTTACAGGACGGGGTTCACGGAGGGCAGCGGTTTGCATGTGTGCCATGTAAACCATAGGGACCCGTGCTGCCTGAGGGCGCAGCTGCCCGTACGGGCGCAGGGACAGCGGCTGAGCAGCGCAGAGCCCCTGACAGGCACCGGGACACCAGCGCTGCCAGGAGCCGCCATTTCCTCTCGCCCTGCCGACGGCGGGAGCGGCGCGCGCGGGACGGCCTCGGGAGGCGGGTCCGCGCCGCCTCACAGCCGCGGCTATGGCGGGCTTCGTGAGGCAGCTGGAGCGGCGGGGCGGGCCGGCGCTGCGGCTGGAGCAGCGGGCGGCGGGCGGCGTGGGCTGCGTCGTGTGGGACGCCGCGCTGGTGCTCGCCAAGTTCCTGGAGACCGGTGCCTGTCCCCTCGCCCGCCGCCACGTCCTCGAGCTGGGCGCCGGCACCGGCGCCGTTGGCATCATGGCAGCGACGTTGGGGTGAGCGGCGCCGGCCGGAGGCTACGAGCGGCTACGGCAGCTCCATTCCGCTCCGCGCCGGTCCGCGCCGCGTGGACGTGGGCGCGGGCAAAGCGGGGACAGCGCTGGCTGCCGGGAAGGGGCAGGTCCCTCCGAGCTGTTCGCCAGCCTCGTAGCCCGCTTTGTTGTGTTACCTGTGTGAAACCGTCTGAATTCTTGCAAAACCAGCGTGTTTTGTGTGTGTGCGCGCTGTGGTGAGGGGCCCGGGGCGTAACCGTGTGCGTGTGTGTGTTACAGGGCAAATGTGACAGTTACCGACCTTGAGGAACTGCAGGAGCTGTTGATGGTTAATATAGAGAACAACAAACATCTGGTCACAGGGTCAGTCCGAGCCAAGGTACTGAAATGGTTTGTATGATCCTTTTAACGTTTCTGTTCAGCTTTAACAGCGCGCCTGCGCTTGCTTTGTTAAATTGCCAAATATACTTGGAAACACTACTGTAAAAGGGGAGCTGGATATAAGAACATAGTAGTAAAGTTCACGTTCAGTCCTGTAGTATTGTGTGTTGCATCATTTCTGAAGCTTGTTTTCACCTTTTTGTTTTCTCTCTACTTTTCAGGGGTGAAGATGTAACAGAATTTCAGCCTCCCCCTGATTATATACTAATGGCTGATTGCATTTACTATGAGGAGGTAAATGAGGAGTTTGCAAAGCCCCTATGCAAAACTTCCTTGGGAAAGGCATAGGTTCAGGCTGAGAAGTGTTCAAATCACTATAGTGCTTGCATCTTGATCCCCATGGTTAGAAGAATACGTAGAAGTCTGGAAAAGGCATTTTTAAGAGGTTCAAAGTGATTGGAAAATCACCTGGAGACTTTGCTTAAAAAAGAAAGCAAACAATATTTGCGCCTTTCCACACCCCACCCCCCCCTTTTTATTTTTAGCACTGGGAATGAAGTGGTAAGGAAAACATTGTGACTGATAGTTGTGAGCTGTTTAATGTATTGGTAAATGAAGCTGAAAAGTGCTGCATCTGCACTGTTTGGGTTCTCCTTATGCTTCCCTTGGGAAGGCAAAAGGAGAAATCATGCTCCAGCTAAGCGGTTGTTGTAGTCTGCCCCATCTCCTCAGCTGGAACTCTATAGGATGTGCACAGCACAGAGAGCTAACAGAAGTTGCAAGAAAAGGGAGAAGACGTAAAGACCACCATGTCCTAGTGCCCTTTCAGTGGTGTTACTGCTGGCTCCCTGCACGTTGGTCCTGTTCCTGTAACGTAGTGGTCTGGATCTGAGCCATGTTTCAAGAACAGTTGAGAAAACTTCCTCTATTGAAGCACCACGTCAAGAAATGGGCATTGTTGTGTGCCTTGAGGAAATACCCACTCGGCAGTGTGGGATGGTTTTGGCTTTGGTGCTAGTTCAGTTCTCTTGGTCAGTCTGTGAAACTCCTCTTATGCAGTCTCCCTTTCTCCTCTGCTTTTCAGCTTGCCCCCATGTTCTTTTTGTCCCAGTTAAAGGACTAAAAATAAGTCCCTGAAAAGCAAAACTGGAAAGTTCTCTCTTGGGTGAAGACTTTCTCTAGTTAGAGACAGTAAAATGAACTTGAAATCTAAGTGTGAAATACTTAACCTCTCTTGGGCAGTCATTAGAACCATTACTGAAGACACTGAAAGATCTTACTGGCCCTGATACGTGCATCTTGTGCTGTTACGAACAGAGGACTATGGGAAAGAATCCTGAAATTGAGAGAAAATACTTTGAGGTAAGTGTTTTTAACGTGCGCTTTTTGAGCGTTAGGGAGATATCTTGGACACAGGAGGTCTTTGTATTGGATAAGCTGAACATCAGTGACAGTTGCTCCATATACAGATTCAGGTTGACTGCACAAAGCAGAGTTTGTAGGGGGAGAGACACGCTTTTCTTGAGATGGGGTAGGAAATTCGGATGGTGACTTTTGAAGTTATTCTCCAACTTACCAGTAGAAACTTTCTGGATACTCACTGAGCTTTCCTTCCCTTAAAAGACAGTGCTAACCCTTCTTGCCCTACTGAACTGCATTAATGTTTTTGATCCAGGCAGCTGGACTTGCTTTTTAAAAGCTTGTCTAGCTCATGAGACCTGCCACATCTGCAAAAGGGCCACCATACTTGAGGCAATACCTGTGGTTGTCTTGATGTTACCAGAGGTTATTGGGAGCATTAAAAATTAGTCTGGTGAAAATTTATTTTCTTTTGGCATGTTCCGTTGAAAGCAGAGGGAAAAAATACAGGTAAAGCGTTCCAGAGTTGCTCAGGAACTCAGGACTCTGCTAGGCAGTATAGCTTCTCTGGAAGAGGTTTTCTCCTCCTGAGAGAACATTAATAGGTGATATAATTCAGTGGTCCAGCTGTATGTTCTGTGCAGGTAAGTAACAGCTGAATCCCTCCTATGCTGTGGGGATGATGGTAAGTGCAGGATTTAACTCTGCACCTGTGAAGTCTGCGGAAAAGCAGCCCTTGTGCAGGAGTAATGGATTATACGTAGTAATAATACCACTACAAAAAAGGGGGAAGGGCAAGAATTCCAGAGTGATTTGCATGTGTTACTAACAGCACCTCTTTGATTATCAGCCATGCCTCAAACTCGTGGGACCTGACTGTGAGGAGGGTTGCTATAACTGAGATCAGCTCTGAGGAGGTGCCACTCCCACAATGAACTCAATAGGTGTAGATGTTTCAGGATGATGGCTGCTTTCTTGTAATTTATTTCATTCCTTAGCTTGCCAGGGTTCAGGCAAGTTAATCTGAGCATACTGCAGAGTTGACACTCGGGTTTTTCAGCCTTTTTTCTCTCCTTCCCCTCCAGCTGAGAATGTTGGCAGAGGCAGGTACTGTGGTTTGGCTTAGCACTTTGCAGACTGGAGGAAGCAGAATGTTTTATCATGAGCTTTTAGATTTTTCTTAAATGTTGCAATGTGTCTGTAGCTTTGAGTTGGTGCTGGAATAGTTAAACAAGAGTAAATGTGCTGCACAGTGGGAAGATATTTTTGTGGAGGCCTTTAGTGGAACTGTCTGAGCATAGAGGTTCCAGTCGCTGAAGGCTTCTTGCCCTTGCGCAGGTATATTGGACTTCTTTAACTGAACGTGCTTAGTTCAAAAGGGCAGTCAGTGTCATCTCAATTGATTTGTGTGTTCTCTGATAACCAGCTGCTTCAGTTGGACTTTGAGCTGGAAAAAATTCCCCTGGATAAGCATGATGAGGAGTATCGCAGCGAAGACATTCACATCATGAATATCCACAGGAAGCAAACGGTAGGTTTACTTAACTGGTGTAGCGAATGCTGCCAGGAATCCGCAGAGCTGCTGTTTACTTGGCGTAGTGTAAGCGTTCCAGGGGTGAAGCTCTAAACTGACTGTGAAATACCATTAGGGACCCTGCAAAACGGCAGACCAGAACTGTGCTGGGACAAAGGGGCTCCTTTGTTCGGAAACCCAGTGTTCTGCCAGGTGCCAGCCTCTGTCTTCAGAAGGACCATCTTTGAGCTGTGCACTGACTTTCTTCTTTGCTTCAATGCTGTAGCGAGTTGGGATCTCAAAACTGGAGTTTGGAGGCACCGAAGTAATAAAAATGTGCCTACTGCTGCTTTTAGCGCACTGTGCTCTGCTATAGAGCATCTCCCCAAAACCAGTCTCTAGAGGTGGTACTTGGCATCTGCCAGTGTTGGTTAGATCTGGTTTTGGTTATTGATGAAGCAGTTATGCATGAAGAAAATACTTTGCATGTTATGCTGATACAACATGTGAGTCCAGTGCTTTTAACAAAAATGGGCTGCTTAAAAATCCCTTTTTTTTTTTTTTTTTTTACATCTCTTCATAGAATATTCCATCATGAGATCTTTGACCACAGTATCTCCTCTGGCAGCTGGTAGAGCTCTGGAGAGGAAGGTGTAGAATAACACCACAAAGAGACTGTTTCCAGTGTGGTTTGTGACTCATCTACTAAAAATGTCTTCTTGATGGTGGACTTGGCATGAGACACCAGAAGAAGTGGGCTTATTAGACGAGATCACTGATAGCGCCTTCCAAGAGGACAGATGTGAGCTGCTCATGTCTTCAGGCTGAGGAAGGCAGAAACAACCCAGAGCGGCACTGGACGTGTGTTCTGGTTACCTCTGCTTGTTGGAGCAGCGGGTGGCTTGCCAAGTGCTCACAGAGTGGATCTGAAGACACCTCTCCAAAGTCTCTGTAAGGAGAAAACTGAGCAGGCTCAGTCACACAGCCGCTCAATAAACCTTTTGCACTTCAGATGGGTTGGATCGTGGTTTCTGTGTTGTGCTGGTGTTGCAGATGTCCTGGGAGTCTTGCTGGGGCTGTCATGGTGATGGACACTGCACAGATACAACATGCAGATGGTCCATATGCAAGATTGCTCTGCCTTTTGATTTCGTGTATGCTTCTCTGGTATAAAAATTCGCAGTGTTAAAAGTTTGACACCTTCAAACGATTCTGGTGAGCGGGTTTGTTGCTGCTGCTGTTCCTCACCGAGCTGCCTCCTGTGCAGTCATGGCTTTGAGATTTAATTTCAAAAGAAATCTCACTTCTGCTCTGTAGTGGAAGCGGCTGTGGCTGTTGGCGCCATCCCATAGCACTGGGAAAGCAGGTCTGCTGTGACAAAGGCACTGCTCAACATGGATTGTAAATGGCCTGTTACAGTTCCTTATTGTTGTTGTCTGCAGCATGAGTGGTCCCTACTGCAGAGACCTGAGTATTAAAGCTAAATCTGCTGGGTTTTCTCAAAACCTCAGCTGCTGGTTTTTGGGAAGCTTTGTTCACAGGCACCCCTGTGCTTTCTGGACTCGCCCTCAACTCAAGCTCCTGTTATCTCCAGTTCTTGTAAAGTTTGCACTTCGTAAAACACTGTCCTGGCTTGCAAAGCACAGCAGTGATGATTAGTGAATGCATGGCAAAGCAAGAGTGCAATTTGTTGTAACCGCATGCATTATTTGTTAACTTGTTATGAAAAGAGCTCCTTAATTAACCAGTGGCCTGCAGGAAGATATTTACTGGTGTGTTTACACCAGCATGGCTTCCCTGGTGGAAACTAGTTCGAGAGAGTTATCCAGAGGTGCACTGTAAGGACAGTGAGGTGTCCCTGCCCATGGCAGGGGGGTTGGAACTGGATGATCTTAAGGTCCTTTCCAACCCTAACTATTCTATGATTCTATGACAGTGTGAGAACAGTGCTGTTTTCTGGTGGCATTTTCCTGCAGGGCAGCCCCTTTGCTGACCACAGGCCCCCAGGAAGGGAGAGTGGAGCTGCTTAGCTTGGAGCTGGGGTGGAATCCCAGTGGTGGTGGGGATGATGTGCCAGAGCCCAAAAAGGATGACATCCCACCAGGGAGCATACTGCCCTCCTTGGGGCCCGGTATGAGCAGGGGGAACAGCATTGCCGGCAGGTTTGGTGCTGGTGAAAGAATTGTGTTTTATCTGTGGGTGTGCGATTTCAGCACTTCCTTTTCAGGAGAAAAAAGGGAGGAAGTTGTGCTTTTCTCTTCCCCACACGCAGCTGCTGGAGGCTCCTCCATGCCCTCAGCTTCATGCCTGTAGTGCTCAGGTTGTGAATGTCATGGAGTGAGAGGGACCTTGAGGGGAGAGCTGTGTCCCATCACCCGCTACACCATCTCCCTGTCACCACCTGCACCGGCTGCAAGGCAGGATATAAAACCCAGTCACTGCTGCGGCGTCTGTGAAGAGGAAACCACCACTAACCGGGGTGGGGGGGGGAAGGTCAGATGGCTGCTGCCTCTACATCTTGTCCCTGCAACCAACAGATGAAACTGATGCTTTTTTTTTTTGGGGGGGGGGGGGGATGGAGCAGTGGGAAATGGGCTTTTGGAAAGGGAGTTGGGATCCTCCTGCAGCTCCACAGTGACTGGGGGGTGCCTGTAGGGCCAGTGGCTGCCATGGCATGGCTGTCCCCACTCCTAACCAGGAGCAGGCACATCCTCATGGAAAACAGGATGCAAGGGAGGCTCTGTTCCTTCTTGCTACCTCACAAGTCCTCTTTGTTGCTGTTGTCTTTTTGTCCTGTCCCTGCCCCCTTGGGGAGAGCATGTGTTGGCATTGCTCCCGTAAACACGGGGCCTCTTCGGTGAAGTTTGGCTGTGATACCTGGCAGTGCTCATGCATGGCTTTGCCATTTGCCAGTGTTGGGCTCTGCCCTTGGGGCACAACAGAGAACAACAACTAACTCCTGTCCATGCCAGCCCAAATCTGCCCCAGCTTTCTCTACACAGGAGAGCTCATCACTCCTCTGGCTCTAATGGGTATGTAGCCACCTCCAAGCTGGCTGCTGCAGGAGCCAACAGTGATGAAGCTGCAGTGTCTAAGCTGTGTACTTATTCTCTGCATCACCTTGCCACAATTTCATTACAGAAGAGAGACCAGCAAATCTCCTGGTGCTGCAGCTGTGGGAGCTGGTTTGGTGCCACCAGTTACAGAGAGACATTTTGGAGACCAGGCCATCTGTGGAATATCACACCTAAATAATGGATCATTTTCTGGGATAATTTCAACACCAGCTGGAATGATGGGAAGCTGCTATGTGGGGTGTGCAGGTCATGGGTGGTTTCCACAGGAGAGCTGTGATGTTCATGTGTGGGGCAGCATCGCCTGGGGCAGGGGTCAGACAGCAGCCTTGGTGGGTGGCTCGTTCCAGCCTGGTAGCAGGTGGCACCAGTATCTCAGAGATGCCAATGGCGGTGCCATTGTCCTGTGGTTGAACTGGGGGCTCTGTGGGGTCCTTACTCTTTGCTATGACAGCTGGCATAGCTTTTCACTTCCATTTACATCAGCAGTGAGGGCGCCTGGCTGCAGCCAGGGATTGAGCATGGTATTTAATGCCAGCTCAGCACTAGACGCATAAATCGCTGATGGCTCTTGTCACAATATTAGTCACGACACAGCTCAGAAACCTGCAGGACCTTAGGAGGTTCACCCTTGATACTCTGTGATTATTTTTCATTCTTTCCTAGGAAAAGAATGGGGCACAGGACAGCTACTGCAGGGTCTGCCAGTGTCTGGATCTGGCCATCCACAAATGATTCCCATGTGTCCCCTGGCACTGCTGCATAGCCCATTGGGACTGTGTCAGGCCAGGGCCTGTGACCACATATCCCATGGGGGTGGTAGCTTTGCTTGGGAAAGTCTCTTCTCCGCAGCTGTATAATAATTTTCTGTGGCATGTAATCCTGGACAAATGGATTTTCCTCTTAGAAGATGATACTTGTTGCCTGCAGCGTTAAGAGATAGTGTTAGAAAAGGCTTTTTATTACAGCAGATCTGCTCTTGCTTCCATTGACTGCAGCGAGTCTTGGTAAATGGGCAAATAGCCCAGTTAAACTGTGCCTCTGGTTCATTTAGAGGGAGCAGATGCCCCTGAGCCTGCGACTGCTCTGAGCCTCCACTGAGGAGCTGCTGCAAATGGCACAACACCACCATAACTCACCCACTTGGCAGCAGGAGATACGTGGGGACTCCCATCCCCACTTGCACCTCCGAGTCCCTGAGAGGTGAATGTGCCCAGCTGAAAGAGGGAGATGAGGAGCAAATGACGCCAGTTTGCACATGCCTTGCCTGGGCAAACCAAACTAATGAGAACCCAGCCAAACTTCGCAATTTGGTCTGGTTTCTGCTAAAGGGCTGGGCAAGGCTCCCTGGGGACTGTGGCAGGCACAGCCCCAGTGGGGGACCATGATGCCAGCAGGGAGGACACAGATGGAAACTGCCAGCATCATTAGAAGCATTTCAATCCCCAGGTACTTTGACAGCCTGAGCTGGAGGTGCTCCTCAGTGATGCCAGTGTGGCTTCTTGACCAGGCACACACTGCAGGCACAATCCTGCGGGTGGCAGGGGAGGGTTCCATTGGTGCTGTGCACTTTTGTGGCTGATGGCGTGTGGGATGCAGGGAGCGGGTTCGCAGTCTTCGCCTCTCCCCACCTCCTCAAAAGGTGTTGGTTCAATCTGCTGAGAGCTTGCTGCTAATGCAGTGCCCTGTCACCCTAGGAGCGGTGACCCTGTGGTCCAACAGTTACCTCCTTTCACATCCTGAAACGAAAAAAGAAAGTTCATTTTCTGCTGCTGAGCACCCAGAGGTTTTTTCAACAGAGGCCAGCAAGTACCTGTTCCTATGCTGGTCCACAGCCGTGGTTTTCAGCCATGAGCCTGAGTGTTAGGGCACTGCCAGCCCTGGGGGTGACCCAGGACCTCAGCAGGGCGATGGTGCAGGTGGTCTGTGCTGGCATGCATGTTCACTGGCTTCTTTGTAGGATCAACTCCTCCCAGCCATTGTCCCGTGGGAAGGAAGATGCCAGTGACCAAAGGGTGGCTGCAAATCCGGCTAATGTTTTCTTGGCCTTCTGAGGCATTTCTGGAAGATGCTTCTCACTGCCCTTTGGGATGGATGGCTGAGGTTTGCCATGGGAGGTTTCTCCTGTCACTGCAAGCTGTGAGACCCATGGGCTGAGGCTGTGTGGCCCCCAAGCAGCACCTCTGTCTTCATGCCTATAATTAGTATATGCCAATTATTTTTGCCCCCAGGAGCTCTGATGTGGGAAGTGGGAGCAGCCAAGGGCTTATTGAGGTGATGTGGAATGGGTGGCAATTCAGGGCTCCTGCTTTGGCTTGGTTATTTCTTTATTCCTCTTGCACTTCTGAGTTTGCTTTGGTTCCTTAATTTATTTTATTTTACAAAAAGGAAAAGGCTGTGTAAGGGAGAAGACAGCAGTGGGTGGGAGGGAGGGAGGGAGGTGGGGATGCCTTGGGAAGCAGCTGGGCTGTAGACGTGTATTGCTGAGCTGGGATGTGGTCCCTGGTACCCTGCCAGTGTCGGCTGGGAAGCACAGGCAGCCCCACGCTGGTGGCCAGTCCAGCTGCTGGCAGGACAGGGAGGATGTGTGGCACAGCCCTTGCTGTGTGAGCTGCCATGAGTTCACTCGTTTCCTGACAGACTGAGAGAGCTCTGGATGTTCAGCATGGAGAAGAGCAGGCTCCAGGGAGACCTTAAAGCAGATTCCAGTACCTAAAGGGACTGATAAGGAAGGTGGAGAGGAACTTTTTACAAGTACACGTAGTGACTGGACAAGGGGGAATGGCTTCAAGCTGAAAGAATTAGATACTAGGAAGAAGTTCTTCCCTGTGAGGGTGCTGAGGCGCTGGCACAGGTTGCCCAGAGAAGCTGTGGCTGCCCCATCCCTGGCAGTGTTCAAGGCCAGGTTAGACGGGGCTTGGAGCAACCTGGTCTAGT